AGTTGAACTAGTTGAATCAATAGAACTATTTTATTTTTAGTAAGAAATTTTAGGTATATGAGATTTGATGATCTAATTAAAATTTTACTATAGAACTATTTTATTTTTAGTAAGAAAATTAATAGAACTAGTTTATTTTTAGTAACTGCTTAGTTGAATTAGTTGGTGAGCTAAAAGTCCACCTCCTCCTTCTCCACTCCTCGGTGTTGAATAGAGTAGAACTAGGGTATTTAGTTATGCTTCTTAACCAAATGAAATGTTTGGATTATAAGATTTTCAATTAATGTTTCAACTATGAACATAGGAAATGTCTGATGATGAAAAGGATTTTTGTATGTGCGAATACTGCGAAGATGAGCGCGGCCTGTGCGACAGAAATTTCCTAGTTGATGGTAGGCGCTTCAGCATCAAGATGGATGAGACCTTCGAAGTGGATACAGTAGGTCACAACGACAAGTCTTTTTTCGTAATTAAGATGACTTCTGCTTCATTTGCTTCAACTTATAATTTAATTTTTTCACTATTCTACTAGCATATCCCCATGCAAGAATTTTTATCTTGGATAAGATTGGTTTCAGTCATATGGAAACTATGGAGGTAAAGAGAGTTCACTTGAGAACTGAGCATGGTTATACTTTCGACGCAAAGTTATACAATGCAGACACCTACACCTATTTTGAATGCAAAAATTGGAGAGCACTATGCAAGGCTTATGCATTTGAGACTGATATGCTTATCAGCTTTAATATTCGTCCAGAAGATGATATTGAAGGTAATATCGACATCTGGGTCGATGTGCAGACGCCTCCAGTTCTACCATTATGTGAGTTTTTCAACCATATTTATGTCTTTGATATTGTTTATTCAAAAATAGTTGACAACTAATTACTATCGACAGCTTATTTCCATTCAAGCAAACATGTCCGGTGCTTCGTAGACATGACGTAGCACTGTCCCGAGGCTGAACTAAACTGCGAGGAGATAAGTCATTATGTTTCATGGCTTGAGGATCTTGATGTTGTCAAGAGAAATTATTTTCCTGGACTTGAAAATCTTAGTACTCAAAACGTGTGACCAATAGTGTTCGTATTGAACTACGGTCACATCTATTTAGGAAAGATGGTAAGATTTTTACTATTTCTCGTGAGTGCCTTTTGCATACATTATTTTTTAAGCTAAACTTCATTGATAAGTATGTTACTACGATGTTCTTCAACAGGGACACCCGATGATAGTTGTGCCTCATTGGATCGAGTCTAAAGGTTGCATGGCAATGGTTAGCTTACGGCCAAGACATCCTACATCGCACATGAGTGCATTCAGGATTTCGAAAACCGAGCAAGTCTTAATAGTGAAAGACTGGAGCAGCACTGTGAAGGATCCCAGAGAAGTAATAGGGGGCAGCAATCAGAAGCGTAGCCACAATTAGGAGACAGGTTCATCTGCATGCTCCAATATGATGAATCAGGACTGCTACACATGTTCTATGTTATTTTACCTGCGAGAGAGCAGCAGGAGTGATTAGCTAGTTCCTTCTCTTAGTACTTGTCCTCTCATGTCCGTATTCTTCGTCCCGAACTTAATCTCAAAGTGATTTCCTTTTATGGTCTTATGAACGCTTATAATCTCATGACCATGTTGAACTTGATGATATCTTGCTTCTGGTACAAGTGAATGTTTCTTCTTTAAGCTAGAATGAGTTCGAAGATGATGATGTGCTACACTAAGAATATGATGATTAAATAGTTAGTGTTGGTGGTAATGACTATGATGATTATTATTAGCTAGTGTTGGTGGTGATTAGATAGCGGTAATGACTATGATGATTAAATAGTGGTAATGACTATGATGATTATTAGCTAGTGTTGTTGGTGATGATATGATGCAAGTATTTTTATATTAATATGATGATGATGAGTTATTATATCATTGGGTGAAAGAACCGCAAATTAGTTTCAATGGATGAATCCTAAGTGATCAAGTAATGGATTATCGTGATAATCCATGACTTTATCATTTAGGACCCATCCACTTGAAACTAATCCGCGGTTCTTTCATGTAGTGATTTAATAACTCATTATAATGTAAAAACAATCTCTAAATTGCTGTTGTACGTAAATATACCTCGCTGGTCTTTGTATATACCAAATTGTATATATAGATGTCTGTATGTGTGAATGGTGGTGCGAGACATTCGATAATATATATATATATATATATATATATATATATATATATATATATATGATTGGTTCTACGAGAAATTCTATTTATATATATGCATAACGTGTACAATATGTAGTATCGTAAAATACCAGGAAATAAAAATTAAATGGAAAACACAAAGTTAAAGGAAAAATAAATAATAAAACCAAAACCCCTAAACCTTTTAGTACCGGTTGTTGTTACCAACCGGTACTAATGGTCTCCCCTCCCCCGGCGCTGGCTCGTGCCACGTGTTGGCCCTTTAGTGGTTGTTCGTGTTGAACCGGTACTAAAGGGGGGTGTCCTTTAGTCCCCACCCCTTAGTGTCGGTTGTTGAACCGGCACTAAAGGGCCTGACGAACCGGTGCTAAAGTCCTGCTCTGCACTAGTGATTGCACAGGAGGGAGAGGAAAGCTATGAGCCAATGAGAAAACTGAACTTTAGTTTTTTATTTAAGAAGTGATGAAGGATATGTCATATGTTCAGTTCCTTACATTTTCTTTATGGTGTATGTGTTGGGTTTAGTCCCGCATCGGTTGTGGGAGGAGGCAGAACACGATTTATAAGGGCGGAGGTGTCCCCTCCTAACAGGCTAGTCTTTTTGGGGGGGGGGGGAGGGCCCAAGGCCTCTCATAAGTCAGCGTTGCTCTCCAATTAGGCCTGGTTGATGCAAATGGGTCAAAAATGCTGGTGTTAGAGGACCCGGGATTGCGTAACAATTGGTATTAGATCCCTGGTGTCCAAAATAAATCTCGATGAACTCATGGGTGGTCGGTCATGGTTGGTGGGCTGGAAACGCCGGTGTTAGCGGGCTCATGGTGACCGATGTGTGAGGGGGAGATTGTTGGGTCTAGTCCCACATCGGTTGTGGGAGGAGGAAGAACACAATTTATAAGGGCGGGGGTGTCCCCTCCTAACATGCTAGTCATTCGGGAGAAGAGGGCCCAATGCCTCTCATAAGTTGGTGTTGCTCTTCGATTGGGCATGGTTGATGCATGTGGTTCGAAAACGCCAGTGTCAGCGAACCCGGGATTGCGTAATAGTATGTACCTGCTGTTCATTGCATTCGAGGGAGAGGACGGCAAGAGTAAGAAAGCAAAGCCTTGCGGCGTGAAGGCAATAGCATGCAGCGCCAAGTCAAGAGCATTAGCCTCGATGGCAAGAGACCAGTACCATCAGGTTCTCTTGACTACTTGCTTGGTTAGTGGTTCATCTCTTATTCTTCTTCATATAGCAAATATAAGGTGCGCATATAGAAGAGTCCATACTAGGCATCCTTTTCTTTTTAGTTTTTTTGAATCCTTGCAAAGGGTGTTATATAATTTCATAACTCTCACCACTTACTTATTTTTTAGCAGCATAGATTTAAATGCAGTAACACATGTTTATGCTTTGCAGCCCAGCATCAAACAGTACCCTTACACGGTGGACGCTATTTGTCATATTTTGACTGATGAATCTGTTTGAATAGATTATACAGGGTTCATGTGATTATCAGTATTGCATTTCTACCCTGGGGTGAGTTTATCATTTTTGTCGTGCAAAAATGCTTATTTGGCTTCATGTGTAACATGATTTTTCAGTATCTAATATTTGTTCTGTCCAACATGCATGAGTGCTTGTTTGGTAATTACTCTCTATGATGAGAAGGTTTGAGAATAAAACGTCCTACACTTTGATCCATTTTAGCGTGAACGGCTCGACGGCAAGCGCGGCTGTCTGCTCCTCGCTCTATTGGTTGTGTCTCTAGCTTCCCCATGCGCTGCTCCACACGCGTGTTTGTGGCTTGCTTGCTGCTGCGTGTATGGTGTGTTGGCTTGATATGCACGCGCGTGTGTGTGCACTAGCTAGGCGAGGATCACTGGCTCACTGCTCTCTCTGTAGCTTCTTAGGGAAAAAATACTTTGCCTCTGGTCTGCATCATGCTTCTAGTGTCTTTATAGGCAGGTTGATGTTTCGAAATCAGGAGAGAAAAAGTCCTTGCATGTATATACTTTTAGATGACACATACCAGAAGTCTTCCCTACGAAAATCATGTGGCATTGTGACGCCCCGGCCCTTATCTTTAGAAATTTGTGATGTGTTTTCATGTCTGTGTTGTGATGTACATAGGAGCATGATTTGTTCTGGCACTTCAGGCATTAGCACGCCTATAATACAGGTCTTGAGTCTACAAAGTGTCATATACATTGTATGTGTGTGTGTGTGTGTGTGTTTGAAGTGTCAGTGCTTCTGTGTAGGAAGTCTAATAGGGTGGGTTTCCATTTCTTTTGCCTTTCATATCAGAACAATTGGCCCGGGATACGTGTAAGCTTTGTCCTGACGAGGAAGTTGACTGTGTGCGTCCTCAGTTTATCATAATCGGCTGCATCTTTGAAGGGTTAATTATCTTTTTGCCCTTAGTGGTGTCCATTTGCTCAGTTTTGCCCTCAGTTACGAATCGTCCTCAGTTTTTCCCCTAGTCCATGCGCAGCTACTTGTTTCATGAACTCTGCCGTCTCCGTCAGGTCAACCTTTTGACTCGGCCCTTAAAGGGGGGACCAGACGGCAGAGACACGCTAGACAATCAGACCATTGCACGCGTGGCTTGTGGGACCCAACAAAGAGCAGCTGAGCAGAGAGCCATTGCGGGTGTGCTATATAAGCGGGCGACAGAGAGCGGCGGTGACCACGGCGACAGAGAGAGCGGACGACAGGGAGCACGACGGTGACCACGGCGAGAGAGAGAGAGCGGCGAAGGGAAGATAGCTGTGGAGGGCGCGGTGGTGTTGAGATCCCCTTCGGCTCCGAGCTTCATGTCTTCTTCAAGCTCCCGCGCCACCTCGCGGAAGCAAAGCCCGACGCATGTGGAGATGCCTATCTTCGTCTGTCTGCGGTGCCGGGCGAGCATTGATCTGAGGGTTTCTCACACACCGAAGAACCAGAATCGTCCCTTCTATGTGTGCAGTGAGAATGGGGTAAGAATCGGGGCAATTGCACCATTTTCGTGGTCGGGGTCTTTGAGCAATGGGTTGATCTGTCTGGCGTTCATGCAGGTGAAATGTTTCTTTCTTTGGGTCGATGCTTTGGCCAAGACTCTGATGAATGAACTGCAAGAAGAGCATGAAGAATGGTTGCGCATGCTACCACGAACGACAGTGGCCGCAGCACGCGCTCTGGAAGAAGAGATGGAGGGCGAAGCACACACTGACAGAGAGATAGCTATTGAGCTTAGGATGTTGAAGAAGAAGGTTAGGAAGCTTGAAGATCAAGCACAAATACCAATACCCATTTGCAATTACTTTTGGGCATTTGTAGGTATGGTAATCGCACTAGGTGTAATGTTGAAATTTTATGGAAAGACATGAATTATGGAAGAATTTGTAAGCTTGAAATTGTATGAGAGATTCACCTTGTTTAAATGTTGGTCCAAGTTTGTTTAAATGTTAAAAAAAGAGAATTGATGACCAACATTTAAATATGTTGAAAAAAGGGAGAAGAAATGAGGAATTCAGAAACTTTTGATCAAGGAAATGCAGCTCTTTGCTCTGCCTTTCTGTCAAAAAAAAAGCTTCCTCTGTGGGCCAAATTCAGAGCGGAGAGCCAAGTGCCAGCTAGACTAATGGGCCAACTGCATCCAATTAGGCCCATTCGGGGGTGAGCAAATGAGATCTCTTGCGTGTTTTTCTATTTTCTGTTCTGACTTAATTTAGGCAGTAAATCATTTTATTTAATGCTGAAACTTTTTGTGGAAGCTAATTGAATTATTCCAGAGCCAAACAATTAAGTTTAGAATTTTTTTTGGAGCTGTTAAATATTTAATAGCAATTTAATTACTCCAATTCAAATACACCGTGATTTAAATCAAAGACCAAAATGTCATGGAAAATGTGTCTCAGCTCTGGTAGAGGTTTATACCTGGTGCCAAAATTAATGAACATTTTTGAAGGGCATTACATTGAGAAAAAAATAATTTGTCGAAAAAAATAAAGGGTGGAAAATGCACAAAAAATTGGTGCGGCTGGGACTCGAACCCAGGACCGCGTGGGTTTGAGGCGTGTAAGGTTGTGCTGGTAACCGCTAGGGCAGATGGAAAGACTTTGTCATGGCTAGGGAAGGAAGCTATACATAGCGAGACCATGACTTGGTTTAGGGTTTAAAAATGCATGTTTGTACTGAATGTTTTCACACGCATGAGAGTGGTTTTCCTTTGTTTTGCACTGAACTTTTGGAGGGTTGGAAACGTATGTTTGTACTGCCACATGATTCCAGTTAGAGTGGCACTTGGTTTAGGATTTAAAGGAAATAACTTTGCATGTTAGTTCATGACTTGGTTTAGGGAAGAAATGATATGTTTGGGCATAGACATTTTTGAACACACATAATAACTTGGATAGATAAGATGCAACACACCATACCCTTACATAGATGGGTACCCTACATAGATAGATAAGTTCAGGGATACTACACGACACAACACGGCACGCACGACATAGAAAAGCAACAAAATAAAAACGATAAAACTAAAACATGACGAGCTTGACGAACAACTTCACTCCGGGCTCGCACCCCTTCTTGAACATCTTCATCTTGACCTTTCTTCCACCTTCGCCGCGCGCCCCTTCAACACCGTCTTCAACTTCACTTCTCCTCCTTGTCGTAGGGAAGGGAGTGCATCTGGTTTTTAGTGGGGAAGATGCACTCGTAGTTGGTGAAGATGTTGTACACCGTGAAGAAGCTGGACTCGCAGCCGCACCAAAACACTTGGCCGAGGAGCTCACGTGCGTCAAATGGGTTGACGAAGGTGACCCGTGAGCAGTAGGAGGATGCTGGCGCGGTCACGAACCTCATTGATGGTGTACATCCTAGGCGAGTCCCGTGGGAGGTGGGCATAGCCGGCTATGAGGAAGGCGCGGGTGAGGTCGATGGACCCCCTCCACCTTGAAGTCGCCCACACACGGAGCTCCCTCTCCACGAGCACGCCCGGTGGGTAGCGCAGCTCCGGCACGACAGGCGGACGAAGGAAGGTCGGCCAGTTGTACTGCATCTTCACTTGGTCGCTTGGAGAGGGCTCGGTCGCTTGGGTTTTTGAAGTTGGAGAGAATGGATCTGGCTTTTGGGTGGTGAGTGGGAGAGGAAGAGAGGCACCCCATTTATAGGCCTGTGGGTGGGAGAGGAAGAAAGAAGGGATGAGAACGGTGCGTGTGTGAATCCGGACGCATGTGTGTATCCGTTAAGTTTTGGACCCTTAAATTTTTGCACGGAAATGGTGCATGGGGCGAGTGCGTGCATCTGAATCACTGCATAGGGAAGCTCTTTGACCAAGTGTGTGCATCTGAATCGCTGCCATAATCTGAAATAATGGCCTAATTCTGAATCAATACGTGCATGGCCACGTCGCTCGCCTCGCTCGCATGCATGCACGTCCGCCTCCCGCGCATGCATTCCCACATCGCCGCCCTTCCCATGCATGCAGGCCTGGATAGGCTAAGACGGGCAATTAACTGCGCGCTCGGGCCCGGACAGCGAGACGGCCCAACGGTCCATCCAGCGCACCCGGTACTTGTTGAGAAAAAAATTGCCTAGCCAATCAGATTGCATCTCGCGGATCGACCCCTCCTCCCAGCAGATTTCTTCTAGAAGGGTTAGATCGACGGTCCTTGATCGCCGCTTGGGTTAGATAGACGGTCCTTTGTTCAGCGCTATGGTTACCGGGTTTGGGAGGGGTTTGGAGCAGCCAAAGATAGGTTTGACCAGATTTAAAATGAGCATAATAAACTAAATAAAAATCAGAAAAATGAAAAACCTGCGCACATAGTCTTCTTATGTCATATACTAACGATTTAAGTTGATAAACAAGGTTTACATACATTTAAACGAAAAGTTCATGTGTCTTATGCGATATCTCAAGTATCTCAAACTCTCTTGTATGAAGTGAAGAGAAGTGTTTTGGGGAAATGAACATGAAAATTTCAAAAAACTCACCATAACTTCATATTGGAGTGACTAAGAAGTATCCAGGCTTAGTTTTTCATTTTGATGTTTTAAACTTGTTTAAATCTTGATCAAAGTTAAGTTTGACCAGAATTCAAATGAGCAAAACAAATTTAAAAAATCAAAAAATGGAAAAACCAGCGCACATAGTCTGTATATATAGAATATATGTGTAGATAAGTTATTTGACTGATTTAGACAAGGTCGAAAAAAACCTTGCTTAGAAATGAGGCCGTCTACCCTACCTTTGGACCCCTCTTTTTAGCACATTTTTCATAAAAAATTCAAAAACCTCACCACAGCTTCATTTTGGAGTGACTAAGAAGGATCCAGGCTTAGTTTTTCATTTAGATGTTTTAGACTTGTTTAAATCTTAGTCAAACTTAGGTTTGACCAGAATTCAAATGAGCAAAACAAAATTCAAAAAGTCAAAAAAAAGGAAAAACCAGCGCACACAGTCTGTGTATATAGAATATATGTGTAGGAAAGTTATTTGGCTCATTTAGACAAGGTCAAAAAAATCTTGCTTAGAAATGAGGCGGTTTACCCTACCTTTGGAGCTCTTTTTAGCATATTTTTCATGAATATGAGTTTACAAAAGTTTCGAAAGAATTCCAACATCCATATAGCATGTCAAATTTGAAGTTCTAACATAGGTCTGACATCATTCAAACATAGTTCTAACATAGGTCCAACATCATTCAACAGAAATACAATATTATTCATAATGTTTCATAACTATTTATAAATAGTGTTGGGGCTTCTGTCTGTTCCTTTGCTCCTCGTGCACCTTTTGTGCTCATTGCTTCTTCTCTTCTCCTCTTGGTTGTCGGTACCTTGCGCGTCTTCTTCAAACCTACCACAGAGCTATGCAAAATATAAAGGATAATGAGATCATGTCAAGTGATAAATGTACAGTAGTATTCGCAAGATTTACATACCTAGCAGAACTCACAACAACAGAAGGTTGGTCACCATTTGGAGCCTCACTTGGATCATCATTTGGAGCCTCACTTGAAACATCATTTGGAGGATATTTTGGATTCTCGTCAAAATCATGCGGCTATTGACCATCATCATTTGGAACCTCGTCAAAATCCTCATCTGATGCAACCGACTGTTGACCATCATTTTCATCATCTGTTGAGGCAACCGGCTGCTGACCAACATTTTCATCAAAGACTTCATCAAAACACTCTCCGAACGCTGGATCTACTGTGTTATCACAATACTTACCGAAATGACCAGACCCACCACACCTTATGCACTTACGCTTCCTCACTCCAAGTCCAGCTCCTTCGCTGTGAGGTCTGATTCGACTCTTCCTTGGTCTACCTGTTGTTCTCTTCCGAACTGGAGCGCAAAGCTTCAATCCAGGGTCTGCCATGTCCCATTGTTGTTTTCCCTCCATAGCAGGCAAGACATACACATATGTGGCTTTGTACCTTGCAACAGAGTAGTAATCATAAACATACTGTTGTATGTTCCCTGCTGGACCTGGGAGAGAAGTGATGAAAAACAAGGCATGAATGCATGGCAACCCAGTTATCTGCCATTGCCTACAACTGTAAGTTCTAACTTCTAAATCCACTGGATATCTCCATTCCCTCTTCTCTTTATCCAAATATGATATCTCTGTTGTGGTAACCGAGCAAAGAGTCATGTTCATTTCCAAGCCTGTTGTTTTCTGCTTCAGTTCATTCATCACGGCAGGGATGATAATGTGGCTCATGAATTTTGCCTCGGCTATTCTTGCACGATAATGAAATTTCTGCATGTATTCTATCCTCATCCTGTCAAGCAAATCCATCACATAATGACCCTTTAGTTTCCGGATCGTTGAGTTGAAAGACTCTGCTAGATTATTGTGCACATAGTCAACTTTGTTCGGTTCACTGAATTGGCTTCTGGCCCATAACTTGGAGTGGTGTGTTTCCAAGTATTCTTTCACTTTGGAATTCATGTATAACTGCCTCAAGTGGTAGTTGTGCTTCTTCACACTGCAAGTCAAAGATGCTGGCCATAAATTGTCAGTATACACCTTTCTTTTGAATTTTTTTACAAAATTTGCAGCAAGGTGACGCATGCATTCCCTATGCTCTACTCCAGGGAACACATTGTCCACGACCACCTCTAAACCTTTGCATGCATCTGTATGAATGACCAACCCATTGAGAAGTGCAATAGCCCGACACAGATTATGCAATAACCAAGTCCAGCTCTTCTAAGACTCTGTCTCCAGCACACTGTACGCAACTGGAAATATAAAACTATGTGCATCAACTGCACAAGCTGCTACTAACTGTCCTTTAAACCTCCGTGTGAGAAAAGTAGCATCAATAGCCAAATAAGGCTTGCAGCCTGCCGAAAAACC